AGGCACTTGTCATCTCCCGTCTGGACTACTGCAACTCGCTGTTGGCTGGGCTCCCTGCCTGTGCCATTAAACCCCTACAACTCATCCAGAATGCCGCAGCCCGTCTGGTGTTCAACCTTCCCAAGTTCTCTCACGTCACCCCCCTCCTCCGCACACTCCACTGGCTTCCAATTGAAGCTCGCATCCGCTACAAGACCATGGTGCTTGCCTTTGGAGCAGTGAGGGGAACGGCACCCCTGTACCTTCAGGCTCTGATCAGTCCCTACACCCAAACGAGGACATTGCGTTCATCCACCTCTGGCCTGCTGGCTCCCCTTCCTCTGCGGAAGCACAGCTCCCGCTCAGCCCAGTCAAAACTGTTCGCTGCTCTGGCACCCCAATGGTGCAACAAGCTCCCTCACGACGCCAGGACAGCGGAGTCACTCACCACCTTCCGGAGACATTTGAAACCCCACCTCTTTAAGGAATACCTGGGATAGGCTAAAGTATTCCTTCTAACCCCCCCCCCCAAATTGTAAAGTGGTTATCCCACTGGCTATAGGGTGAACGCACCAATTTGTGAGTCGCTCTGGCTAAGAGCGTCTGCTAAATGACGTTAATGTGCCCTTGAGCAAGGCACTTAACCCTAATTGCTCCTGTAAGTCGCTCTGGTTAAGAGCGTCTGCTAAATGACTAAAATGTAAAAAAAAATGTAAAATGTAAGTGGGAGAACTTGCACAATTGGTGGCTGACTAAATACTTTTTTCCCTCACTGTACATAGGAGTGGTTAAAACATGCTAATAGCAGTCCTCTTAGTATATCAAAAAAGGTTTGGTATACTTCGACTGGTATGCCATCCAACCCTGGAGTTTTCCCAGACTTAATTTCTTTAATTGCATCCAGAAGTTCCTCTGTAATTTCACCTTCACATGAGTCTTTCTGTTTGGCTGTTAATTTTACATTATCAATAGAAAAAAATCTCTACAATTAGCTTCAGTTAGAGGAGATGGAGGCGACTGAAATGAAAACATATGCTTAAAGTACCTTGTTTCCTCCTTCAAAATATCATTTGGTGAACTCCGTCAATTGTAACCAATTTCATTACATTATTTTTGGTAGCATTCCTATGTTGAAGATTAAAAAATAATTTGATGCATTTTTCCCCATATTCCATCCAGTTTGCTTTATTTTTATAATATATTACACTTGATCTTTCTTGAATGTTTCTCCATTTCTTTTTGTTTTTCCTCTAATTTATTCTGAGCCTCTATGTTACAGTTTTTATTGCCATCTATCTGTTCTGTTAGACTTTCTATTTCCTTTGTTAGTATAAACACTTTTGACCTAAATTGTTTTTGTTTTCGAGATGAGTACTAAATTGCATGGCCTCTAAATGCAGATTTAAAGGTGTCCCATACAATAAGGGGATTTGCTGTACCTATGTTATGTCTGAAAAAGTCAGTTATAAATTCCTTTGTTCTATTTTTTTTTTAATCATCCAATAGGCTTTGATTAAATTTCCAATATCCTCGCCCACGTGGAAATTCAGTAAGAGTAATGTATATGCCAATTATATGATGGTCCGACCGCATTCTGTCCCCGATCAACACTTTTTAAACTTTTGGTGCCAACGAGAATGAGATAAGAAAGAAGTCAAGACGACTAGCTTGATTGAGTCTCCGCCATGTATATTTCACTAGATCAGGATATTTAAGCCTCCATATATCTACTAGTTCTAATGTATCCATGACATTCACAATTTCCTTAAGAGCATGTGGGTGATTGTTTGTGGTGTGATTTCCTTTACGGTCCATTGAGCTATTTAAAACAGTATTATAATCCCCCACCATAATAATATTGTCTTGAATTGCTTGCAGGGTTGATAATTTATTATATATATATTGTCAAAGAAGTGTGGATCATCATTATTTGGTCCGTAAATGTTAATGAGCCATATCTGTTTATTGTCCAATAACATATTTAAAATAATCCACCTACCTTGCATATCTATTTGGACAATTTGCACATTCGGATCGAAATTACTATTAATTAATATCATCACGCCTTTTGAATTTATTTGCCCATGGGAGAAGTATATTTCACCCCCCGCCCATTCATTTTTCCACGCAACTTCATCTAGAATTGTTGAATGAGTTTCCTGTAAACAATATATATTATATTCCTTCTCTTTGAGACATGTAAATATTGTTATTCTTTTGTTATTATCAGCTAAGCCATTACAATTATAACTGGCTATACTTATTTCACCATACACCATAATGAGATACAAGTTTCAAGTCTATTTATCATTATATATGTTTGTAAATTTACCATTTAAAAAAACGCAGTGATTGAGTGTCCATATAGCTGTACCATGATATTTGCATTGCTGTATCCCTTCAATTGTTCTCCACTAATTCCCCCGCTAATGCCCCTCCCCATCCCAAGTTGAGCCGTCATCCCAGTGATCGGTATACCACCCACATCCCTCCGGATCCCTAGGGCCCCGAGAGGCCAGGACCCATCCATCGAAAACAGAACACAGTGCCACGCACAAAACAGAAGCAGATTAACCGTCAAAAGCATTTTCAATGCTGTCACCTCTATATATAACTATTTAAAAATATATATCTATTCAATAATCTTGCATATATTATTTTCCATCATTATCAATGTCAGCAGTTCATACGTAGGATTTTAACATATAACCCGGATTGCCATTGTATTACATTTCATTTATTGACAAGCAATTATTATCCTAGCAAATTATTATTATCCTATCAAATAATTACCGTGGTCCATCCCATACCACCCCCCCCCCCCCCCCCCCCCCCCCCCCCCAACATCCCCACCCCTCCACAACAGATGCCGGCCAAACACACACGCACATACTCACATACTTCAACACACTCATCCCCCCTCCTCCACAATCCACCATAAAATCAGATACTCAACGGTTGTTATATCCCAGAGCCCAACTCAAGATAGGACCTGATTTACGAGTGCACATACAGTTACAGCTGATTGAGAAAGCATGCAAGCACTGACCCTATTTTGGGAAATATTCAAGACCCTACTCCCAATATGTTTGTTCTTAAGACTAGGGTAAGTGAGCCCATGCATCAGTCTATGTCCAGAGGCAAAATCAGCAGTTTTGCTACCACAGTTACACATGTAATTGTCCTGTGCTAGAGACCATTCTGTGGAATCATGCCATAAGATGGTGCTGAAACCCCATAAAGAGAAGATTGAATTCCTGAGGGGGAAAGGAATTTGTTACGCATGTCTAACTAAAGGAAACATGAGTAAAATTTGTCAAAAGCGTATTACTTGTCAATCTTGTCAGAGAAAGCATCCAACCCTGCTGCACATAGATACCTGGAAAGCTCCCCAGAAAGAAGGCAGTGCAACAGCTAAGAATGAGGATACTTCTGTTGCCAGTACCACAGTTCCTTCTCAGACTTGTGGATATACTGGGGCCAGCACCACAGATTGCAAACTGGCAATCTTACCCACTCAGATCAAGGTAGCCAATTGCAGCGGAATAATCCAAACGTATGCGTTCCTATACTAAGGAAGTTCGGCAACCTTTTGTACCAAGAAGTTAATGAAGCAGCTGGATACCAGAGGCAGGATAACTAAGATTCTACTCAAAACAATGGGTCAAGAGAAACCGCAAAGCACTTACAAACTGGATGGACTGAAGGTGAGCAGCCTTGAGAGTTCAGCATTGCCAGAAGTGTTTACCCAGAGCTCAATACCAGTTGGCAAGGAGAATATACACAGCCAAGAGGACTTAAGAAAGTGGCCATATCTGAAGGATGTTCATCTGACCACTATTGAAACGGATGTCAGAAATGTTGATCGGGGTCCATGGAAGATCATTAACAGCGACGGAAATGGGCCCTATGTGGTCAAAACTCGTCTTGGATGGGTGGCTAGAGTCGATTGATGTCATTTTGAATACAGAATAACTCCCTGTGTGTTTATGGTAGCCACTTACCGTTTCATGTGACAAGCTGATTCAAGTCACCAACTCATCATCAATCTTTGATTCTTTGATTCAGCTGTGTAGTGCTAGGGCAAAAACCAAAACATGCTATAGCAGTAAAAGATAAATTCAATGTTTCATCAAATATATATATATATATATATATATATATATATTTTGGTATTTTACCTACAGGGGTCCTAAAATTCTAAATCAAATGGCTAAATGATCCATTTCATGACCATCTTAAAATAATTCCATATGTTAGCTTAGTAGATATTTTAATCTAACGGCTTAGACCTACATTAATGGTCTACTGAGCAGCAGCTCGCCCATTGATGAACAGGATTGACCATGCATGACTATTAATCACTTAAGTCTATTAATCACTCAGGAATTAGTAGATATAAGGATGGAATGAAAGACTGCATAGTGGACAGAGAAAGGACAATGAGAAAGAGAGAGAGAGAGAGCGAGAGAGCCAGTCATGCAGACGAACAGCTCCTGACTTCTTATAACTTTCTGGTTGTTAAGAGTGAGATTACCAAAATAAAACTAGCAAAAAAATATATAGGTAATCAAACTGTACAACTAAAAATCAACACAGGAGGAAAAGATAGACAGAGTGTGAGTTAAAATACCAATCTTAATCGTGCTAGCTAGCCAAATTCGAATTTGTCAGCTAGCTCACGTCTAGCTCCATAGCAACATGGCCACTGAGGCAGTGCTAGCAGCGCCAGCAGCAGCAGAGACTGAGAGACTTTCCCCCCCTTTTTTTGAATTTCCAACAGAAATCAAATCAGAGAAGGGAAGAATCAATCAAAGAATCAAAACAGAATTCTGAGGGAGAACCCGGACACACAACAGGACTGTTACAAACCTGTTATTTTACAGACCACACTACTGCCTGGCATACAGCAGTAACCAGGCATTTCAGCTATACGACAAAGTAAGGCATCTGCAAGGGAAAGCAAATCCATTTTTGAGGATAGCGAAAAGGACCAGGAACACAGGTTTCTGATTGTAAACATGTACAAGAACGGCACTGTCATGGTCCAGGGCAGTGAGGCTTCACTCAGCTCTTTTGTGCAGAACTTCCCCACCCTAAGGAAGATAGCAGAAACCAAAAAGGACAAGGACAGCACCCCAACCTCTCCCCTCACCTCAGGCACTGCAACAGTAGGAGCCCAGGCCCAGACCCACACAACATGTCTGTCCTCCCCCCTGCCTGCCTACGACCACAAGAGCCAAGACCACACCACCATCAGCCTGCAGAGAGACAGGCCGGCTCTGTTAGAGGTATGGCTTACTGAGCTAAAGGAGCAGCCCCCCAGCTACACCACCTCCAGCCCAGACACAGAGCTTCTACAGGACCAGATCCACCAGTGCAGGACACAGCTGAAGAACTCTGTCCAGGAGCGGAGAGAGAGCCTTACCACAGCACTTGAGGAGGTAAAGGCCACCATGAGGAGAGAGCAAGTGCAGGGAAAGGAGGAGATGGCAAAGGAGTTCTCTGTCATCAAGAGAGTGCTGCAGCATAGAGAACAGACTGTAGAGACCCCTAGAGAGAAGCTGCAGCCCCTCACCACCCCTAACACCCCCACTTACCCACCCTCACCCACAACCCCCCCCCCATACCGACCACCCTTTACCCACACCCCCAGTCAACAAGGAGGCTCACATGGGGACACCTACTACAGAGAGCTCTCTGGCCCCCCCTGACACACCCCCACACACACCTCCTTGTACACAGGCCCTGTGTACCCCAGCCCCACACCGTAAACCCACTACTCTGGTAAAACCCACTGAGGTGGCCATCCTCATTGACTCAAATGGGAAATTCATCCAAGAGGATAAAACTCTTCCCCCACCACAAGGTGTCCAAAATATGGTGCCCAAAAACACAGGATAGACTCCACATCCTGTTCCAGCCTGACTTTGGCACACCAGGCCACATTATTATTCACACCGGCACCAACGACCTGCGAGAGGAGCAGGAGAGAGTAGGCAGCCTGGTCAACAGAGTAGCAGAGAGAGGGACTCTGAGTGGTTTCCCAACTCCCACATTACCATCCACCCTGCTGCCCCGCAAAGACTTTCATCTCCGTACCATTCAGAAAGTCAATGCTGACATCACCAGAGGGTGTGGCCTACTCCCGAACGTGCATGTTGCTCACCACCCAACAATCACCCCAGAGCATCTGCACGACCACTCCCACCTCAGGAAGCAGACAGTAGGGATGTTTGCCAATTCTCTCAAGGATGTGGCACTTGGTAGACAAACACCCCATGCCGCACTGGACAGAGGACCACCCAGAGACCCCTACCAGACCACTCCACCACCCAGGAGCCCCATTCCCCCTCAACGCCCAGCGCACCCCACAGGCCCCACCCACCACCAGAGCATCACACTTCCATCGGCTTAGCCAGACTGGACCGGGCCCAGCCTACTACCCCGCACCAGACCAGAGAGGAAGCCCCCCGGCCCAGACCTGCCCCCCCTCCACTCCACAGGGCCCAACAGCAGGACCAGCACAGCTACGGGGAGGTCCTCAGAGGACAGGAGAACCCTGTAGGATTTAGTGAGATTAAACAGCTCCTCCAATACGTCTGCACTAAACTTCACTAAACGCACACACGCACACACACACGCACACACACACACACATACACACACACACACACACACACACACACACACACACACACACACACACACACACACACACACACACACACACACACACACACCTATTGTACTAAAAGTTTACTTGTTCAATGAATAGGAATATATACAGTGGGGAGAAGAAGTATTTGATACACTGCCAATTTTGCAGGTTTTCCTACTTACAAAGCATGTAGAGGTCTGTCATTTCTATCATAGGTACACTTCAACTGTGAGAGACGGAATCTAAAACAAAAATCCAGAAAATCACTTTGTATGATTTTTAAGTAATTAATTTGCATTTTATTGTATGACATAAGTATTTGATACATCAGAAAAGCAGAACTTAATATTTGGTACAGAAACCTTTGTTTGCAATTACAGAGATCATACGTTTCCTGTAGGTCTTGACCAGGTTTGCACACACTGCAGCAGGGATTTTGGCCCACTCCTCCATACAGACCTTCTCCAGATCCTTCAGGTTTCGGGGCTGTCGCTGGGCAATACGGACTTTCAGCTCCCTCCAAAGATTTTCTATTGGGTTCAGGTCTGGAGACTAGCTAGGCCACTCCAGGACCTTGAGATGCTTCTTACGGAGCCACTCCTTAGTTGCCCTGGCTGTGTGTTTCGGGTCGTTGTCATGCTGGAAGACCCAGCCACGACCCATCTTCAATGCTCTTACTGAGGGAAGGAGGTTGTTGGCCAAGATCTCAAGATACATGGCCCCATCCATCCTCCCCTTAATACGGTGCAGTCGTCCTGTCCCCTTTGCAGAAAAACATCCCCAAAGAATTATGTTTCCACCTCCATGCTTCACGGTTGGTATGGTGTTCTTGGGGTTGTACTCATCCTTCTTCTTCCTCCAAACACGGCGAGTGGAGTTTAGACCAAAAAGCTCTATTTTTGTCTCATCAGACCACATGACCTTCTCCCATTCCTCCTCTGGATCATCCAGATGGTCATTGGCAAACTTCAGACGGGCCTGGACATGCGCTGGCTTGAGCAGGGGGACCTTGCGTGCGCTGCAGGATTTTAATCCATGACGGCGTAGTGTGTTACTAATGGTTTTCTTTGAGACTGTGGTCCCAGCTTTCTTCAGGACATTGACCAGGTCCTGCCGTGTAGTTCTGGGCTGATCCCTCACCTTCCTCATGATCATTGATGCCCCATGAGGTGAGATCTTGCATGGAGCCCCAGACCGAGGGTGATTGACCGTCATCTTGAACTTCTTCCATTTTCTAATAATTGCGCCAACAGTTGTTGCCTTCTCACCAAGCTGCTTTCCTATTGTCCTGTAGCCCATCCCAGCCTGTCCTTACACAGCTCTCTGGTCTTGGCCATTGTGGAGAGGTTGGAGTCTGTTTGATTGAGAGTGTGGACAGGTGTCTTTTATACAGATAACGAGTTCAAACAGGTGCAGTTAATACAGGTAAGGAGTGGAGAACAGGAGGGCTTCTTAAAGAAAAACTAACAGGTCTGTGAGAGCCGGAATTCTTACTGGTTGGTAGGTGATCAAATACTTATGTCATGCAATAAAATGCACATTAATTACTTAAAAATCATACAAAGTGATTTTCTGGATTTTTGTTTTAGATTACATCTCTCACAGTTGAAGTGTACCTATGATAAAAATGACAGACCTCTACATGCTTAGTAAGTAGGAAAACATGCAAAATCGGCAGTGTATCAAATACTTGTTCTCCCCACTGTATATATATAACAGAGCAAATGTTTGCTGTTATCCTGTTTATCTCACTCTTAACAACTTAGTAGTTAGTAGTTACTGTATTTCTGACTGTGCTGTTCTTTCTTTTTACGACATGAAATCACTATCAGTTACCATGTGGAACACTCAGGGCCTAAACTCATCAACCTTTGGACTGAAGAGTTTAGCACTGGAGTTTAAAAAAATCTTAAAGATGTTGACGTCATCATTCTGCAGGAGACATGGTGTAAGGCAGACATTGTCACTCACTGTCCCACAGGCTACAGAGAGGTAATTGTGCCGTCACAGAAACACAGCTCTGTCAACAGAAGCAGAGACTCTGGAGGATTGATCATTTGGTACAAATCCGAACTACAAAATCTAATTGATCCCCTCAAAATTGGTAAATATCACATTTGGTTAAAACTGAAAAAAGAAACTTGTACTGACAGAAAAAGATGTGTTCCTTTGCACAATATATATCCCCCCCTAAGAATCCCCATATTTCTCAGAGGAGATATTCCCCAGCCTTGAGGAAGAGACATGCCATTTCCAGGGAAATGTGCTCATCTGTGGGGACATAAATGCGCACACAGGAACACTACCTGATCTAACGACCACACGAGGGGACAGCTTTATTACAGGCCATACTGTTTCTAACTGTCTTAATCTTCCCCAAAGAAACAACAGCGACAGCACCATAAACAAAAACGGAAGGGATCTGTTGCAGCTCTGTTGAAGCATGGGTTTGTACTTTGTCAATGGTAGGTTACGGGGGGACTCTTTGGGGAGATTCACCTATTGCTCACCTCTTGGCCACAGCACAGTAGACTATATGATTACAGATATTGACCCTTTCTCTCTCAGCTCATTCACCGTCAAGCCACTAACACCTCTGTCGGATCACAGCCAAATTACGTTGTTCCTCAAAAGAACAGACACGGAAACAACCACACATTCACAGCCCAGTAAGCTGTACAACATCAGAAATTCAAACAGATGGGCCCAAAAAAGCACAGAAGAATACCAGAAAGTAACCAGTAACCAAAATATCCAAACACTCTTAGATAACTTTCTGGATACCACATTCACTCACAGTATAGAAGGCATCAATCTAGCAGAAAAAAACATAAACTATATATTCAGGCAAACGGCAAAAGAAGCACAACTGAAATTTATAAAAAACTAAACAAGAAATACCACAGATGACTACTGGTTTGATGCAGATTGTAAAATGATAAGGAAAAAACTTAGAACACTATCAAACCAAAAGCACAGAGACCCAAATAATGGTGAATTACGCCTTCATTACTGTGAGACTTTAAAACTCTATAAACATACACTCAGAACCAAAAAAGCACAGTACAACAGCAAGCAGCTGACACTAATTGAGGAGTCCATAAACACAAACAACTTCTGGCAAAATTGGAAAGAACTAAAAAAATCTAAACAAGAGGAATTAGCGATACAAAATGGTGGCATATGGACAACCCACTTTAAAACACTCTACAACACCGTTCAAATTGACACAAACGCAGAACAATGCCAAATTCATGAGAAGTTGAATGGATTAGAAAAAGCTATAAAGGACAATCAAAATCCATTGGACTCCCCAATTACTGACCATGAGTTCTATAAGAAACTTCAGGCCCTCAAATTAAAAAAAACATGCAGACCTGATGGCATCCTAAATGAGATGCTCAAATTCACTAGTGCAAAATGTCAATTGGCTATATTAAAACTGTTTAATTTTATCCTGAGTGTAGGTTATTTCCCTGACATCTGGAATCAAGGACTCATAACCCTAATCTTTAAGAATGGAGACAAATTTGACCCTGACAATTACAGAGGCATTTGTGTGAACAGTATTATAAATGTAAGAGTTCTAAACTTCCTTAATAAGCGCAATGTCTTGAGTAAAAGCCAAATTGGATTCATACCAAAACATCGCATGACCGATCATATTTACACCCTATACACCTTGATAGATAAACACCAAAATAATTCCAAAATGTACGCTTGCTTTATCGACTTACAAAAAGCATTTGATTTTATTTGGCATACAGGACTGTTCTACAAAGTTATTGAAAACATATGACATAATTAAATCAATGTATACTGGCAATACGTGCAACATCAAAATTGGCAAGAAAATAACATATTTCTTTAACGAGGGGCGGGGCCTTTGCCAGGGTTGTAATCTGAGCCCTGCACTCTTCAATATTTACATCAACGAATTGGCCTCTATTCTAGAAAAATCCCCAGCCCCTGGTCTTAGTCTCCACAAATCAGAGGTTAAATGCCTGCTCTTCGCAGATGACCTATGCCTGCTGTCACCCACAGCACATTGCCTACAGCAGAGCCTGGACCTGCTAGAGCAGTACTGCCAGACCTGGGCCCTTAAACCCCAAAAAGACTAAAATAATGATTTTCCAGAGAAGATCCAGATCTCAAGGAATTAGACCAAAGATATATATAGATACTTATATATAGATACAAATACTTATTTCCCTCAATAAAATGCAAATCAATTTATAACATGTTTGACATGCGTTTTTCTGGATTTTTTTGTTGTTATTTTGTCTCTCACTGTTGAAATAAACCTACCATTAAAATTATAGACTGATCATTTCTTTGGCAGTGGGCAAACGTACAAAATCATCAGGGGATCAAATATTTTTTTCCCTCACTGTATATACAGTGTACTACTAGCTACCTAGCAATTTTATGAAGTTGGCTTTAGCTAGCCCAGATAGGTTCCCAACCACCAATCCTCATAACTAGCTACCAATAAGCCATTTCAGGCTATCAAGTTAGAGTAGCTAGCTTGTCTAACTATCTTAGCTGGCATGCCTGCTGGCAAGGTTGGTAGAGTTTAGAAAAACAAGCAATAACTAAATGTACTGAATAAGACTCACATTCCTTTCAATCTTTTACTCAGATTTTTGCAGAGAAGCATATTTAATTTCTTTAAGAAATAACCACCGGTCAGGAGAGGTATGCTTAGATATGAAGAAAATAAAACATATTTTAAAAATAGAATGAAGCATAACGATTATATCTCTAGATTGCAAGTAAAAGCTGTTTCAGGTGTTTGGATGGGGGGCCAAGCTTCAGGATGGGAGGCTAAGCTATGTGCCCCCTCAGATTTCTGCGGTGCATGATGCCCCTGTATGTGTGTGCAGTATGTGTGTTCAGTATGTGTGTGTGTGTTTGTGCGTGTGTGTGTGCTCCCATGCATGCGTATGTTTGTATTGGTGCTTTTTACGTTGTTGTGAAGCTATTGACTCCATATTGCTGATATGATGGTGTGTGTATGTGCTTGTGTGTGTTGCTGTGTGTGTGGAGGTGTTTAGCTGTGTTGCTCCGGGAGGAGAGAGGGGGTTGTCTGTGTTTGGACTGAGGGTTGTGTCTGCCTGACAGACCGTAATTGGTTTCCCTTTCCACGCCTCCCTTTCCTCAGAGCAATGTCAAAAAAGCAATTTTAGGTGCCAGTCATTTTAAATTACAGGTCACTTAAGATACAAACGCTTGGCGCTGCATCACCCCTCCTCTGACTTGAGATGGTACGGCCTTATAATCTGTGTTCCTATCTACCTCTCTGTCATCACTGAGTGGAAGCTTTCACTCCCAAACGTATGGAAACCGACCTACACAAAAGAAGGAGGAAGGACTAAGGAGTGGGAGATTTTATGCTCTGTCAATGGTTGGAGAGTGCAGACTATAGAGTTAGAGGAATGGTTCAATAACGACTGGAGATTCTGTTGGTGGGTCTGGCTTGACATGTTTGAATCTTTGAGGGGTGGATCAACTAAGCACATAGGTGGATTTGTGTGGAGGAAAAGTGCAATCACAATCACTTAGATATATGCACCTCACACACACACACACACACACACACACACACACACACACACACACACACACACACACACACACACACACACACACACACACACACACACTCAGCCCCACATTATCTTGTGCATATATGCCTGTTTGCTGATGGGAAGAAACACATAATTTAACCAGATTGGTCAACTGAGAACTAATTTATATTTTGTAGTTACTGCCTGAGGACTCTGGGGCTCACAGAGTTTATATTGGCAATCAGGAGCTGCACTAGGCTCTCTGTGCAGCCACTCCTAAAGAGCTTAGTTTGGATTTGGTCAAGAGGCTGTGTCGCTGACTTTAATACTCTTAGATTATGTCCCAAATGGCATCCTATTCCCTTCATAGTGCACTACTTTTGCCCAGGGCCCAAAGTGCTTTGGTCAAAAGCATTGCACTATATAGGGAATAAGATGTCATTTGGCACGCATCCTTACTTCCCTGCTCTAAGTGTTGGGGAGACTTTTACCATTGTACTCAATCAGCCCTGTGTGTACCCACGCTCACTTGGAGAGAAAGGGGCCTCCGTTTGCACTGTGTTCATATGGTTTTGTGGGTCTCTAGTTAGTGGTGTATGTATACAATATCTATCTGTCTGTACATTGTCTTATGTCAGATAGCGCAACTTTGTCTGCACTGTCAGTCGTGGGACTAGCGTCATGTACGATATCTGGTTGTATGGACTCATGTCCCACCTAACTTTGAGTTTCCCCACAGCTCCCATTACTCAAGCAAGAGTATGTTATGCTACATTACCCTATGCTATATGGCCTTTACTCTACTCAAAAACACCAGCACAGCCTCCTATAATCTTTGTCAAACCCACCAGGCCACATTCTGAGACGCCATCTCCTTTCCACATCTTAACAAACTCATTTCCCCCTCAATCGTCTTTGGGACTGTGTGTCTAAAGTTAATAGTCTTTGGCGAGCTCTTGGCAAAGTAACTGCACCTGCGCTTGTCAGGGGATTGTTTGGCATGGAGATTGAGTTGACTGAGTGAATGATGAGAAGGTCAAGGAAAAAAGAGGGAGGCAGTGAAGGAAGAAGTGGGGAAGGAGGGATGGAGAGATGGCAATCCTCTCTCTCTCTCTCTCTCTCTCTCTCTCTCTCCTCTCTCTCCTCTCTCTCTCTCTCTCTCTCTCGCTCTCTCTCTCTCTCTCTCTCTCTCTCTCTCTCTCTCTCTCTCTCTCTCTCTCTCTCTCTCTCTCTTTCTCTCTCTCTCTCTCTCTCTCTCTCTCTCCTCCTCTATGGCGAGAGTAGGCCGCAGCGCCGAGCCTGCAGTATTAACTCTCTGGCAGAGCGCAGCCCCTGTCACTGCAGCGACGCCTGTCACGCTAACACCCCCAAGTGCTATCATTGGAATACTAATGGGCCTGTCACTCAACTGGGGAGAGAGGGAACGAGGGAAGGAGGTAAGGAGAGAGGGAAGACATCAAGGGGAAAGAGTGTGCAGACAGAGATAAGGAAAGGGGGAAGGTGGGAAGAGATTGAGGGAGGGGCAGAGTTGGGATGGAAAGTGAGGAGAAGATATGAAAGGAAGAGGAAGGGAGAGATAAAGAAGGAAGGAGGGAGGAGGAGGAGGAGGAATATGAAAAAGGAAGAGAGAGGGAGAGAGCGACGAGAACGTTTGAGTGACACCAACCGATAGGGTCAGAGAGATGGGACAGATGAAAGCTCTCAGGTTAATATGAGAAGCTGACTGGTCCCCAAACACCTCTATCTCTCTCTCTCTCTCTCACCCTCCCCCTCTCTTTCTCTCTCTCTCTCTCTCGTGCTCTCCTTCTTTCACTCCCTCTCTTCTTCCCCCCCTTTCTAGACATATAAGTTGAAGTTTGTTATGCTCTGAGCGTGCATGGCAACAAAGAAAGGGTCATTTGGGCATTATAGAGAGACATTGATCCACTGACCAGAATGTAGATTTTTAAGAGCGTGATGGTGAAATTACAGGCCTTGGTTAAACAGCATGGTATGATTTTGAAAAGTTTTTATTTTTTAAGCATTGATAGCACCAGCCGTTGTTCCATCTGTGTGGAAATTAATAAAAGGAACATGTGCGTAGATACACACATAAGTACCCAGGGACACACACACAAACGCCCACATGCACGCACACACACACCTCACAAACACATTGTCACGCTCTGGTTCCGGGACGTTGTTTATGAACCAGGGTGTGTTTGTATTGTTGGGTGTTGTGTGGGTTAGGTTGGGTATAGGGTGTGTTCGTTTTGTTGTGTGCTGTTTGGTTGGGGTGTCTAGGTGGTTGTCTTCCTTGTTTGTATTCATGTGACTCCCAATCGGAGGTAACGAGTGACAGCTGTCGGCTCGTTATCTCTGATTGGGAGCCATATTTATTCTGTATGTTTTCCTGTGGGCATTGTGGGTTTTTGTTTCCGTTTCGGTCTGTGTACCGTGGACTTCATTGAGTCGTCTTTTGTTTTGGATATTGGATACTTTAATTATTAAAGTCATGTTTCTTGGACACGCTGCGCCTTGGTCTTACTTAGACGACATAGACGACCGTGACAGAAAAACCCACCTTAAAAGGACCAAGCGGCGTGTCAAGCGGCAACAGGATCCACCTACACAGGATTTATATCCACCCATAAAGGATTCATGGACATGGGAGGAGATTCTGGATGGTAAGGGGCCTTGGGCACAACCGGGAGAATATCGCCGTCCTCGTGAAGAGCTGGAGGCAGCTAAAGCCGAGAGGCGGCGATATGAGGAGGCAGCACGGAGGCAAGACTGGAAGCCTGTGGGTACTACCCAAGAATTTCTTGGGGGGGGGCTAAGAGGGAGTGTGGCGAAGTCAGGTAGGAGACCTGCGCCTACTCCCTGGACTGACCGTGGAGAGCGAGAGTACGGGCAGACACCGTGTTACGCAGTTGAGCGCATGGTGTCTCCTGTACGCAGGCATAGCCCGGTTCGGTACAGTCCAGCTCCACGTATCGGCCGGGCCAGATTGAGTGTTGAGCCGGATGTCATGAAGCCGGTCCCACGCAGCAGGTCACCAGTGCGTCTCCTCGGGCCGGCGTACATGGCACCAGCCTTACGCATGGTGTTCCCGGTTCGCCCACATAGGCCGGTGCGGGTTATTCCACCTCCCCGTACTGGTCGGGCGACGGGGAGCATCAACCCAGGTAAGGTTGGGCAGGCTCAGTGCTCAAGGGAGCCAGTACGCCTGCACGGTCCGGTATTTCCGGCGCCACCTCCTCGCTCCAGCCCAGTACCACCAGGACCTACACCACGCACCAGGTTTCCTGTGCGTCTTCAGAGCCCTGTGTCTCCTCCACGCACTGGCTCGATGGTGCGTGTCTCCAGCCCTTTACCACCAGTGCATACACCACGCACCAAGCCTCCTGTGTGTCCCCAGAGTCCTGTGCGTCCTGTTGTTGCTCTCCGCACTAGCCCCGAGATGCGTGTCCTCAGCCCGGTACCTCCAGTTCCGGCACCACGCATCAGGCCTACGGTGCGTCCCCAGGGTCCAGCATGCCCTGTTGCTTCTCCCCGCACTAGCCCTGAGATGCGTGTCCTCAGCCCGGTACCCTCCAGTTCCGGCACCACGCACCAGGCCTACGATGCGCCTCAGACGGCCAGAGTCTGCCGTCTGCCCAACGGGGTCTGAACTGCCCGTCTGCCCAACGCCGTCTGAACTGTCCGTCTGCCAAGCGCCGCAGGAACTGCCCGTCTGTACTGATCCTGCAAAGCCGCCCGTCTGCCATGAGCCTTCAGAGCCGTCCGCCAGACCGGAGCCGCTAGAGCTCTCCGCCAGACAGGAGCAGCCAGAGCCTTCCGCCAGACAGGATCAGCCAGAGCCTTCCGCCAGACAGGAGCAGCCAGAGCCTTCCGCCAGACAGGATCAGCCAGAGCCTTCCGCCAGACAGGATCAGCCAGAGCCTTCCGCCAGACAGGATCAGCCAGACCCTTCCGCCAGACAGGATCAGCCAGAGCCTTCCGCCAGACAGGATCAGCCAGAGCCTTCCGCCAGACAGGATCAGCCAGAGCCTTCCGCCAGACAGGATCAGCCAGAGCCTTCCGCCAGCCAGGATCCGCCAGAGCCGTCCAGCCAGGATCCGCCAGAGCCGTCCAGCCAGGATCCGCCAGAGCCAGCCAGCCAGGATCTGCCCCTCAGTCCGGTGCTGCCCCTTAGTCAGGTACTGTCCCTTAGCCCGGTGCTGCCCCTTAGTCCGGTGCTGCCCCTTAGTCAGGTGCTGCCCCTTAGCCCGGTGCTGCCCCTTAGCCCGGTGCTGCCCCTTAGCCCGGTGCTGCCCCTTAGTCCGGTGCTGTCCCTTAGTCCGGTGCTGCCTCTTCGTCCGGAGCTGCCCCTTTATCCAGGTGGGTTAGTTTGGAGGGTGGTCAGTGGGAGGAGGCTACTTAAGCAGTTTGTGACTGTGGTGGGGTGGGGATCACGACCGGGGCCAGAGCCGCCACCGTGGACAGACGCCCACCCAGACCCTCCCCTAGACTTTATGTTGGTGCGCCCGGGGTTCGCACCTTTAGGGGGGGGTACTGTCACGCTCTGGTTCCGGGACGTTGTTTATGAACCAGGGTGTGTTTGTATTGTTGGGTGTTGTGTGGGTTAGGTTGGGTATAGGGTGTGTTCGTTTTGTTGTGTGCTGTTTGGTTGGGGTGTCTAGGTGGTTGTCTTCCTTGTTTGTATTCATGTGACTCCCAATCGGAGGTAACGAGTGACAGCTGTCGGCTCGTTATCTCTGATTGGGAGCCATATTTATTCTGTATGTTTTCCTGTGGGCATTGTGGGTTTTTGTTTCCGTTTCGGTCTGTGTACCGTGGACTTCATTGAGTCGTCTTTTGTTTTGGATATTGGATACTTTAATTATTAAAGTCATGTTTCTTGGACACGCTGCGCCTTGGTCTTACTTAGACGACATAGACGACCGTGACACACATGTCCAGGTTCCCTTCCCCACACAGCCAGGTTGCCATGATGAGGTCACCATCGGGGCATCATTGAATCACAGTGTATGAGTCCCAAATGACACCCTATATCCTGTATAGAGCACTACTTTTTGAACAGGGCCCATAGAGCTTTCGTCAAATGTAGTGCACTATATAGGGCATAGGGTGCCATTTGGGACGCGGCTGGTGGCTAACAGCATGCTTGACAGAGCAGGGTGAAGTCACACACTGGTATGGCCCTCCAAACAGACTGCACAGCCACTCAACTGGAACTACATTACAAAAGCCGCTCCAGCCATGATCCATCAGCCCGACCAGGCCACAGTACTATGGGAGAAGGGAGAGATGTGTGAGATGAGAGGGAGAGAGAGCGAGAGAGAGGAGAGAGAGAGAGAGAGAGAGAGAGAGAGAGAGATAGAAGCGAGTGATAGAGAAGAGAGAGAAGAGAGAGAGAGAGAAGAGAAGAGAGAGAGAGCTCTAGCTCGAGCTCTCTACGCTATCGCTCGCTCTAGAGTATATCTCTGAGAGAGTAGAGAGCTAAGAACATAGCAGAGATAAAAACATAGCCCAGAACAGCTCTGAACTTCACTTTCAAGCTCTGTGTGTGTATTCGTGTATGTGTTTGTGTGTGTGTGTGTGTGTGTGTGTGTGCGTGCGTGCGTGCGCGTGTACATTTTAAAATGAAGATGTATTGATTGTGTAGGTCTTCACACCCCAGAGTTTATACTTGGTAGAGTAAAGAGCAGAGTATTACTTTATTAATCCCAATTTGGGAAATTGTTTTATCACAGCATGCATCATCAATAACTTCCAAGTTGTTGGTCCTCTGTAGCTCAATTGGTAGAGCATGGCGCTTGTAACGCCAGGGTAGTGGGTTCAATCCCCGGGACCACCCATACGTAAAAATGTATGCGCACATGACTGTAAGTCGCTTTGGATAAAAGCGTCTGCTAAATGGCATAGTATTATTATTATTACAAGGACAGGACATGTAACAACGACAGACACATAATTGCAGTTGAAGTCGGAAGTCTACATACACATTAGCCAAATACATTTAAACTCCATTTTTCACAATTTCTGACATTTAATCCTAGTATAAATTCCCTGTTTTAGGTCTTTATTTTAAGAATGTGAAATGTCAGAAAAATACATTTTAGTCATTTAGCAGACACTCTTATCCAGAGCGACTTACAGGAACAATTGGGGTTAAGTGCCTTGTTTAAGGGTACATCAACAGATTTTCACCTAGTTGGTTCGGGGATTAGAACCAGCGACCTTTCGGTTACTGGCACAACGCTCTTACCCATTAAGCTACCTGCCGACCCAAAATAGTAGAGAGAATTATTTATTTAAGCTTTTATTTCTTTCATCACATTCCCAATGGGTCAGAAGTTTGCATACACTCAATTAGTATTTGGTAGCATTGCCTTTAAATTTTGAACTTGGGTCAAACTTTTCGGGTAGCCTTCCACAAGCTTCCCACAATAAGTTGGGTGAATTTTGGCCCATTCCTCCTGACAAAGCTGGTGTAACTGAGTCAGGTTTGTTGGCTTCCTTGCTCGCACACGCTTTTTCAGTTCTGCCCAAAAATGTTCTATAGGTTTGAGGTCAGGGCTTTGTGATGGCCACTCAAATACCTTGACTTTGTTGTCCTTAAGCCATTTTGCCACAACTTTGGAAGTATGCTTAGGGTCATTGTCCATTTGGAAGACCCATTTGCGACCAAGCTTTAACTTCCTGACTGATGTCTTGAGATGTTGCTTCAATATATCCACATAATTTTCCTTCCTCAGGATGCCATCTATTTTGTGAAGTGCAACAGTCCCTCCAGCAGCAAAGCACCCCCACAGCATGATGCTGCCACCCTCGTGCTTCACGGTTGGGATGGTGTTCTTCGGCTTGCAAGACCCCCCCTTTTCCTCCAAACATAACGATGGTCATTATGGCCAAACAGTTCTATTTTTGTTTCATCAGACCAGAGGACATTTCTCCAAAAAGTACAATCTTTGTCCCCATGTGCAGTTGCAAAACGTAGTCTGGCATTTTTATGGTGGTTTTGGAGCAGTGGCTTCTTCCTTGCTGAGCGGCCTTTCAGGTTATGTCGATATAGGATTTGTTTTACTGTGGATATAGATACCTTTGTACCTGTTTCCTCCAGCATCTTCACAAGGTCCTTTGCTGTTGTTCTGGGATTGATTTGCACTTTTCGCACCAAAGTACGTTCATCTCCAGGAGACAGAATGCGTCTCCTTCATGAGCGGTATGATGGCTGTGTGGTCCCATGGTGTTTATACTTGTGTGCTATGGTTTGTACAGATGAACGTGGTACCTTCAGGCATTTGGAAATTGCTCCCAATGATGAACCAGACTTGTGGAGGTCTACAATTATTTTCTGAGGTCTTGGCTGATTTCTTTAGATTTTCCCATGATGTCAAGCAAAGAGGCACTGAGTTTGAAGGTAGGCCTTGAAATACATCCACAGGTACATCTCCAATTGACTTAAATTATGTCAATTAGCCTATCAGAAGCATCTAAAGCCATGACATCATTTTCTGGAATTTTTCAAGCGGTTTAAAGGCACAGTCAACTTAGTGTATGTAAACTTCTGACCCACTGGAATTGTGATACAGTGAATTATAAGTGAAATTATAGGTCTGTAAACAATTGTTGGAAAGATTACTTGTGTCATGCACAAAGTAGATGTCCTAAACGACTTGCCAAAACTGTAGTTTGTTAACAAGAAATTTGTGGAGTGGTTGAAAAACTAGTTTTAATGACTAACCTAAGTTAATGTAAACTTCCGACTTCAACTGTACGTCCAGCATTATCATTATATTTGCTGAAGACACAACGGTGGTAGGCCTGATCACCGATGACGATGAGACAGCCTATAGGGAGGACGTCAGTGACCTGGCAGTGTTGTGCTAGGACAACAACCTCTCCCTCAACTTCAGCAAGACAAAGGAGCTGATCGTAGACTACGGGAAACTGAGGGCCGAGCACGCCCCCATCCACATCGACAGGGCTGTAGTGGAGCGGGTCGAGAGCTTCAAGTTCCTCGGTGTCCACATCACTAAGGAATTATCATGGTCCACACACACCAACACAGTTGTGAAGAAGGCACGACAACTCATCTTCCCCTTCAGGAGGCTGAAAAGATTTGGCATGGGCCCTCAGTTCCTCAAAAAGTTATACAGCTGCACCATTGAGCGCATCTCTACTGGCTGCATCACCGCTTGGTATGGCAAGACTTGGCATCTGACCACAAGTTCTACAGAGGGTAGTGCGCACAGCCCAGTACATCACTGAGGCTGAGCTCACTTCCATCCAGGACCTCTATACCAAGCGGTGTCGAAGGAAGGGCCTAAACATTTTCAAAGACTCCAGCCACCGAAGTCATAGACTGTTCTCTCTGCTAACGCACGGCAAGCGGTACCGATGCACCAAGTCTGGAACCAACAGGACCCTGAACAGCTTTTACCAAGCCATAGAACTGCTAAATAGTTAGTTAAATAGTTAACCAATAGATACCCGGACTATCTGCATTGACCCTTTTTGCACTAACTCTTTTGACTCATCACATACGCTGCTGCTAATGTTTATTGTCTATCCTGTTGCACAGTCACTTTATCCCTACCTATATGTACATATCTACCTCAATTACCTCGTAACTCTGCACATTGACTCGGGACTGGTACCCTGTGTCTGTAGCCAAGTTACCATTATTCATTGTGTATTTATTCCTATTATTTTTATTTTAAAATTTTTATTTTCTATCTGCATTGTTGGGAAGGGCTTATAAGTAAGCATTTCACTGTTAGACTACACCTGTTGTTTACGAAGCATGTGAAAAATTACATTTTATTTTATTTAATTTGCTGTAGAACATTTGAAGAATTTTGCCACAGATGTTAAAAGATCTAAACTTCCTTCAAAAGTACAGTCTGGATTGGGCTTTTTTGTAGACACTTTGGGAGTTCTCCTTCCAGTTCAGTTTGTTGTCCAGTATTACCCCCAAATACTTGTAAAGGTCAACAGTACCAATCTTTTCACCATTCATAAAAATGGTATTAAAAACATCTTTATTTTTCCTCAAATCTACCACTAGCTCCTTGGTCTTCAGTAAATTCAGGTCCGGATAGTTGAGCTCACACCATTTCACAAAGGACTCTTGTTTCCCTGTGATGAGCATCGTCTCCTCTCATGAAACAGCTTATTATAGCAGAGTCATCAGAGAATATCTGTAAGTCCCTCAGTTCATTATTGTGTGTGAGTAATTTGTGTAAACGGTAAACAGGACAGGTGACAGGACCATCCCCTGCGGCGCCCCCGTTTTTGTACATATCCGATCTGATACTGCCTGGTTCAGTCTTACGAACTGTGATCTATTGGTCAGGTAGTTCACAATCCATTTGATTGTGTGTGGGTTTACATGAATGTCCTTTAGCTTTTGGGCCAACAGGTGGGGTTGTATGGTATTGAATGCACTGGAGAAGTAAAATAACATTGTTCTCACCACACAGCCGGGCTTCTCCAGGTGCTCATATAGACTGAGTGTACAAAACATTTTGCAGTCAGAACAGCCTCATCTTGTCATGTTATGGACTACAAGGTGTCAAAAGTATTCCACAAGGATGCTGGCCCATGTTGACTCCAATGCTTCCCACAGTTGTGTCAAGTTGGCTGGATGTCCTTTGGGTGGTGGACCGTTCTTGATACACATGGGAAACTGTTGAGCGTGAAAAACCCAGCAGCGTTGCAGTTCTTGGCACATTCAAACCGGTGCACCTGGCACCTACTACCATACCCCGTTCAAAGGCTCATACATATTTTGTCTTGCTCATTCACCCCCCACAAAAACAATCCATGTTTCAACTGTCTAAAGGCTTAAAAACACTTATTTAACCTGTCTCCTCCCCTTCATATACACTGTTTCAATTGGATTTAACAAGTGACATCAATAAGGAATTATAGCTTTCACCTGGATTCACCTGGTCAGTCTATGTCATGGAAAGAGCAGGTGTTCCTAATGTTTTGTACAGAGTGGAGATAGAGCGGAGTATATTCGACACCAGTTTTTGGGTATTAGGCAAATTGCAAAGGATCCAGGTAGGCTGCCACCTCAACTCTTAATGAGGGTATTAAAACCCACTCAAAGGTTTTCATGACTTATGAGGTCAAAGCCACTGGTCTAAATTGAATGAGCTCGCTACGACAGGGGTAGCGCCTCTGCGGCCATGACAGTAGTTTGATGGGAAGACCTTTGGCAGCAATTACAGCTGTGAATCATTTTGAATCTGGCATCTGAGAATCTGTTCAGTGGTTATTTAAATTCTTAAAGGCCCAGTGCAGTCAAAATTATGTTGTTCCTGTGTTTTATATCATATTGTACAACAGCTGATGAAACAAACACTGTAAAAGTGATTTTTTTAAATCAATATTATTTCTTGATAGTTGCTTGTTGAAAGTACAATCTACACAATATCTTCTAATCAGCAGGTTTGCATGGGCGGGTTTAAATGCGGTAAATTGGTTAAATAGACCAATATAAATGAGAGTTCCAAACCTCTATGCTAGTTTTTAGTTTTCCCCTCCCCACTCAGACCACTCCAAGACAGTCCTAGCAAGATTCTTGCTTGAGAAATATTTTTTTGCTAAAAAGCTACTTTTGCCATTTTAATGGAAATCTATTACAGTAAGATACTTAATTGTTACCCAGAAATTATTTGATATTGATATAATAACGGCTGCATTGAATACAACGTATTAATGCCTCATGAGCTTAGCACACGTTTCTTACCCTATTGCCAAATAATAAGGTTGTATTACTCCATTGTTTACATGTAAAGAAACAATCTACAGCTTCCAAATGTGTTTAAAACTATCATGTGGATTTCATGGACTGTCAGTAATTGTAGCTTTAAAGAATACAATCAGGGAAGGATTTCCAAACTAAACCATGCTGTTTTTTGTTCTGATGTTTTATGTATTTTATTGCATTCACAGCTGCTTCACCAGAATGTGTAAACACACTACCTGCATAGTGGTGATTTGATTTGCACTTGATTTCTTGTTCTTTAACTTGTTTTAAGGGAATCCAATACTACAGTCAAATGGCACCCTATTCCCTTTATAGGGCAATACATAGGGAATATGGTGCCATTTTGGATTCAGCCTAGGGTTTTTAAATGGTGTACTGTAGACAGAGGACCATCCATTGAATATCCAGTGGGGTGTTATGTTTAAATGCATTCCTCGGCCTATCATGTGTGCCTGTGTGTGTCACTGTTACCCAAAGACTGCTGGTGCCTTGCCCCTCTCCTCTCACAACAATCTACATACACATATACAAACAATAAATAATGACACTTTCTCCCCTGTCCTCAGGCTATAGACGGTGACTTTGGCACGTTTGGGACCGTACGGTATTACTTCAGTGACGAGCCTGACCAGTAAGACACCGAACTACACTGACTAAGACACCATATCAATGAACTGCCCCATCTTTTCTCAAAGTGCATGATTGAAAAGTATTCTAATGAAATAAGTCTCATCTGTTGAATGATGTTTCTTATTGTCATGTCACATGCCCCTCACCCAGGTTTTTGTTGGACGCTGAGACGGGCTGGGTGCGTCTGAGGGGAAATCTGGACTACGAGCTGATGCGTCGGTTCACCCTGACCGTGCTGGCCCGGGATGGGGGTGGGGAAGAGACCACGGGCAGGCTGAGGGTCAACGTGCTGGATGTCAACGACAACACACCCCTCTTCCAGAAGGAGGCCTACATGGGTTCGCTGAGAGAGAACGAACAGGCCACACAGCAGGTGGCCCGAGTCAGGGTAAGTGAGAACACACACACATACAAACACAAATAGATAGACAGACACAAATACGCACACACACCAGGGCAGGAGGACAATGCGTGTGTGTGGACCATTTTAAGTCCTTAGTGACTTGCTCTCAACCCGCTCCACTGCTGCCCCGGGGCAATGCAAATAGTCTGGGTAGCCATTTGATTAGCTGTTCAGGAGTCTTATGGCTTGGGGGTAGAAGCTGTTTAGAAGCCTCTTGGATGTAGACTTGGTGCTCCGGTACCACTTGCCGTGCGGTAGCAGAGAGAACACTCTATGACTAGGGTGGCTGGAGTCTTTGACAATTTCTAGGGCCTTCCTCTGACACCGCCTATGGACAGAATATTGTAGTCTAGGCCTATATAAATTTGTTCATATGGGCAGAATATTGTATATACATTTGTTCATGTGGTTATATAAAGGCTGAAGGCTAAAAACAGACTATACTATATCTAGGCCTATATCTAGTTCCTACAATGTATTTTTTGTTTTTACACCATCCATTAACACCAACCATTCACTATAAAACATGTATTTATTAACAAATAAGCTTAGCAAAATACTAAAATGATGGGGCTAAAATAAGTAAGCCTCAAACATTTATTTAAAATAACCAAAAAATACCCCAAAATAAGAGTAAGCGACATTACAATGCAGTGCCATAAAAACAAGTTCACAAACAAATTATCCAAGAATATGTTTTGTGTTCTGGTCTCAAGGATTTTGGAGTAATGGAAAGGGTTGCAATTGATAATTGTCACAACGAAGTGTCCAAGTAGGCGGTGCTCCTTTTTCTCAGATGGATTTTGGAGTATTCACAACTCCAACTTGAAAGTGTAGGCAACGCTCTTCAGGTCAGACTCCAGCCATTAAGTTGTGTACTTCTCAACCAGTGACTTCAGATCCTTCTGTTAATTGTGATAGCAGGGTCTTTGCCATGGTGGTGGAATGCTAGCAAGTCACTGCTCCATTCTCATTTCACCTCTTAGCTGTTGTCGTTGCAGTGCCACGATTAACTTCCAAATGGTGGGGTGGGGTAGCGCCAAGATTAGCCGAAAATGTTCGATGCCAGCCCTCCACTCCGTTGTTGGTCTACGCCAAGTCTTGCAGGACAGCATCTTAGCAGTTCCATTATAAAAAAAATAAAAAAAAGAGATATTAGCAACCATGTTATAGGCCATGGGCATGCTGTCATCAATAATAACAACAAGAATAATAAAGACATTATTATTTTAAAACAAGTCATACCTATGGGAAACATTGGCTTTTTTCGAATGCGTCCGACCTATTCCCTAACCGAATCCGAGCATTGTCCGGGATATGGTTGTGTTCTCCAGATAAATTGGAGATAACCTCATCAGTGAGGGTTATGTGGCATCGGCATTCGAAAGCATCATATTTGGTGCACTTCCAGAAGGACTTATTTGCGGTCTGTCGTTCCAGTCTGTAGGTGTAGCCTTCATGTGGCAGGATATTTTTTACATGCACAGAGTGGATCAATTAGGGTTCTATTGCTTGTTCTGATCTCCTCTAAGAATAATGAAAGCAGTGCAACATCTTTTTAAGCAGAGTATTTGGATTGTTAGCATATGAACGACTTGCAATTTCGATTGCTGGACTATCGAAGCCATCCATCCAACCCATTTATTCAGATCCGAAAGTCCAAAGAGGATAGTTTCAAAGGTAATCAATTGGGCCTAGTTATTGTTCATTAACATCATACTTTAGGAGGGACGTGGGGGGGGATGCTGATCACTGGGATGACGGCTCAACTTGGGATGGGGAGGGGCTTTAGCGGGGGGAATTAGTGGAGAACAATTGAAGGGTTACTCCGTAGCAATGCAAATATCACGGTACAGCTATATGGACACTCAATCATTACGCTATTTTTTATTGGTAAATTTACAAACATATATAATGATAAATAGACTTGAAACTTGTATCTCATTATGGTGTATGGTGAAATAAGTATAGCCAGTTATAATTGTAATGGCTTAGCTGATAATAACAAAAGAAGAAAAAATATTTACATTGCCCTCAAAGTAGA